GCCCCCCCCCCCCATTTCAGACAAATATCTTCAAAACTGAATATTTTGTGAAGGTTTGTTATCATGCAAAACTTTAGTACTCTGCATTCAATGTAGCTTTTGTCTCATATATTTTCCTTATCATACTGTTTGTATCATTGAAGAAAATGCCATGGCAATGTGGCATCAGAATGACCTCCAATTGGTGGAAATGTATAAAGACCTGTTAAAAGTATATGGGGACATACAGATCACAAACATAACCATCAAAACAAGCTTGTTCATTTTTTAACCTGTCTAAATATTAAGAAAAAGTTGTATATGACATAAATGTTTGTAACTGTCAACATAACATAGCCCAAGAAAAGGTGGAGACCAGTTAATAGCAATATAAAAAGTTTTAATGGTCATGATGGTACTTACAGCCTGTTAGAAGCAGCTGTTACCTGAAGTATCATGCACAAACTTATATCTCAGTTTTGAGGAAAGTGGCAGCTTCATAACACGAGACACTGTCTCTTCCTGCAAAATGAAGTATGTGGGATTTGAAAGGGGATTGCTTGGTGGGACCCTGTTTTATGATGATGTTGGTGATGAGTATTTCAGACCAGATCACAATGTTAAGATTCCTACAGAACAGGCATAGGGCTTCTGAATTTCAAGGTGGAGCATATTTTGGAGGATGCGCTGTTTGAATTTTAAATCTCAAATATTTTAATACAAAATAAAATTAGTGCAAATTAGAATAATATTTGGGATCACTAAATTTTCTCCCCCTTTTTTGCTTAAGGACAGAGCAAATCCAGCTTCCAAAACACAGAGTTCTTTTTGAAAATATAGAGAATGGACTAGTCCCAAGAATTTAGTGATCCCGATTGTAACATACCATTGTCAGTACCCTTTAAAATTTACTAGAATAGTATTGATAGCTTCATCTTTTTGTTTTTATTTAAGTGTCACTCCAAAGACCTGTTTTATCTTGGTCCTCGCCATAATACATTTCAAATGCTGTATCAGTGCATTAAAGAATCTATGATTTGAAGTTTTCACAGCAGTGAGTATGAAGATTTCTGTCTTCTGGGTTGTTGCGACGTGTAGTATGGTAGATGTTTACCAATGTTTCAGAGGTCATACTGCCTCCGTCATCAGGGCAATGACCTAAGGGATCCTACCAAAACATCTGAAGGATTTGTTTTAGATTTAATATTGAATTGGAATAGGTCAAAAGACCTAATCCATAAGAAGCATGCAAATTAATCATGTTTATTCATTTTTGAAGTGGAAAACCATCTATAGTAAACAATATTCATTATTTTACATTTTGTAAAATGCACTTTTGTGACTGTGAGTGGAGAAAGGGGAAGATGTAATGCGAATTCCTCCGAAGAATTTTAATTGTCTAAATTTTAATCAACATCTGCCACCACTATCTTCTGTCAATAATAATGGACTGTGCTGGAAGGAACTAATTACATTTCCACCTGGAACAACAATTTATATCATTTTAATGTGAAATAATTTGACTCCATTGAGCAGACATCCTCGAGAAGCTAGTATTTGCTCAGTTAGTCGAGAAATTTCCTACCTTTCCTCCCACTCCATAGGTTCTGGACCATCTGTCACACAGTCCTGATCTCATGCTAAGTGATTTTGATCTCTTGGGATCCTTGAAGCAGCATCTAGTCAGTAAACGATATGTAATTAACAGTAACTTGTAACACCCTGTTGTTTCCTAGCTAATGGTGTTTGGCACCAATTTGTTCCATGCTGGGTAGATATCTTGATGTCACAATAGCACAAATACTTGAATAGAATCTAGTACTGTGTCAAGAGGAGAACAGTAACCTTTAATAGCTGTGTGACACACCTTATATATGATCAATTTGGCTGAATGTCACACATGCATACTACTAAACTGTTAACCCCAGAGCTGAAGCCTGACCTGCAGCAACATAATGCAGGGTTTAGATATGTATGAATTGTTGTCAGATTGGTATCACCAATGTAGCAATAAAGTAAAGTAAAAAGCAATCCCACTACACGCCATGTAGGTCGCTTGGGGAGAGTGGAGGTGTAGCTTCTACTCATTCTTGACCTTGACACTAGCTGGGGTGAGTGGTCATCATTACGCCCCGGCCGTGCTACCCGGGAAAGGCCCCTGGTATCCATTGGATAGGAGGCTGGGTGGGCCCCAGAGCCGGTCTGGACAGAGAGGCTAGAGGAAGAATTCTCTGTCCCCGTCGGGGATTGAACCCCAGTCCTCCAGCCTGTAGCTAGTCACTATGCTTACTGAACTAATGTATCAATAAAACAAGTTATTTTTCTTTTACCTTATCCCATCTCAGCCAGGGCTAAATTCTTGACAGTGTGTGCCTGATCAACATCATGCTGTTTGGAGGTCTGGTGGTCTAATGGGGTGGTTCCTAATCTACAATTTTTTATTTTAAACTCAGTTTACTTAATATGAATTTACAGCACACAGTCTTTTTCATGTGGTGCTCAAGGCATACAGAGGAAAGAAAAACTGTTATTTACATAGCTTCTTTATTGAATGTTATCATGATTCTTAATTTTCCATAAATCAGTGTATTGAGCACAAGTAAAACAGCAGACAGATGATAAGTAGAAAATAAAATAGGATACAAAGGATTAAGAAAGTGAGAAAGAAGAATTCATAAGAAAAAGGCATAGAAAGTAATGAAAGGAAGGAAGAAAGTATGAATTATAACTATGATATATTATCAAGTAAATGTATGAAAAAGTAAGTAGAATAAAAGAAAGTTTGATGAGATTAATGACTGTTCTACAGATAAGAATGTGAGATTTTGTTTTATGTAAATGTAAAAATGGTGAGTTGTTCAAGTGATCAACATGGGGCTTTCTTTTATAAAGTCTTATGTAAATAGAATAAAACCATTTTATGGATAAAGACAGATTTTTGTACACTGTGTTGTCCTGACAGTATAAACAAGAAAGTCCTTAAATGTGACATAAAAGAGTGAGGGCCATGATTTTTACACTTGCTTTATTTCTGAAAATTTTCTATGCTTCAGTTTAAGAATATACTTTGTGGATGATGTGATGAACATTCAAGATGTTAACCAACAATTTATGAATTGTGGACCCATTGAACTGACCCCCTTAGAAAAGTGGAATAGTTTCCTTGTCTGGTAAATAACCCTCTTCAAAATAATCAGTTTATTTCACTGTTCCAAGAACAATCATGTTTTTATTCCTCAGATTTTGCTGTTGGGATGAATCCAAGTGTGTATTTTCTGTAGCACAATGTGTATTGATGAAATGCGATGATTTCTCCATAGACTGGGTGGTGATTTAAGCAGCCTCGCCTTCTTCTTCCTCCTCTGCAGCAGCTGTGAGCAGCTGGATGAGTTTCGCTGTGTTGATGAAGCCCTTGTCATCAATTTCAAAGTTGTCATAGGCGTCATCCACTTCATTACCAGAGAACTTGTCACCCCAGGTCATCAAGGCATGCCTCAGTCTGAGCAAATCATACAAAAAATGTAAGTCACCAGTTGCACATCATTCAGCATAATTTGAATGTTATTTAGGAGTTTGTGTTCTGATGCAACAGTTCATAACAAAGCCATTTTGAAGTTGGTCAGAAGATCAAAACTTCAGTGTGTAGGCTATATGTAATGTATTTATTAAACGAGAGTGCTACTGTTGCTGCTACAAATTTGCACTGTATTGTGTATTGAAAGAAATTGTAAATAACAATTTGCAACCAGGTTTTGGAGAATTTAAACTCTATACCACTTCAAAGAACCTTTAAATTAAATTTACATCTTGTATTGTTATATGTGTGTAGTAATGCAACAAATAGTTTCGTCTCAATAAGATAAGTAATGCGGTCAGCTTATGGTTCAAAGTTCTTCATTGGTTGGCTTTTTGCCTGCCTTAGATGGTACTTAGTTCACATCACATCCGCAAAGGAACTTTGCTGACAAGAAATAAGTCAATGAGATAGATTCATAATGCTTACTTTTCACTGTCGATCTTGCCGTCATCATCAAATGACTTGAAAGCAGCAATGACAACGTCATCATCATCAGATCCTGAAAATTTTAAGAAAAATGTGGTATTCATAATTATGTTTTCACCATGTGCAAAGTTAGTAAAATCCATTTACGTATAGTAAAAATTTGGATATTTGATAGTGAGCTTTTATATTCCTGTAAAGGAAGTTGCACTCCATTGCTAATATTGACACAAATAAAAGCACATATGAAGAGTTAACTTATATTTTTTTAAAATATTCAGAACTCTGTTTGTATGATCTTTAAAACGTAAGCATTGCAGGGTGTAATGGCAGGATAATATCAACCTTTATCATCGATGCATTACTTCTTACACAGTCCAGCTGGCTGAGTCTTGCACTACTGTATCACTGAACTGTTAACCTGGACTTAGTCTGGCCAAGAGTCGCATAGCGTGGGGGTTTAAATTCTGTATTATATGATAAAGGTTAACATGGATTAACATTGATTATGAAGATGTGAACTGAATAAAATTGATTCAAAATAATATTCAGTGCTGGAATTTGATATTAATGGTGTTAAGTTATATTGCCTGAAAGTTAGCTCTTTGAAGGCAGTTTGTCTGAATAATATTTAAGCATTTGAAGAAAACATTCCCTTTTCCATTACAAAGATTAACTGGTTAATGTTTAAAGAAATAATCGCTGTTTATTCTGAGAATTTTATGAAACTCAAATATAAAATGAAGAGTTGAAGCAAGTTGTAAAGGGTTAAAAATAACAGAGGATTTATTGATTCGTATCGTGTGAAACAGATTGTTGAACTTAGACTCTGTAAAAAGCTGCAATCTATAGTAGTATGTGGCTTGACCTTCCACAAAGTTCTTAGTTTAAACAATTTGGCTCTGATTACAGAAGCTTACACTTAAACTTTAATGTTTCCTGTTGAGAAATTTAAAGTTTTCTTGTTATTAAGTTTTTCTCCCTCTCAGTTCCCCCCCCCCCCCAATTTAGTCAAAATGAAGTCTTTAGAAATTATATTTATATAAATGCACTTCTTCATTAGCTTATTAGTCAAATTATTTGTTCATAGTCTTTAAAGTTGGACAGGGATATAATATTGATGAACTTGTTACATACCTCCAGACATTCTTCCGGCGAACAAGGTGAGCAGCTGTGTGAAGTTAATTGGTCCAGGAGCTTCAGTGACCATCTCATCAAGCTCTTTGTCTGAGGCAAGACGGCCTAGCTGGTCGAAAGTTGCTCGGAGGTCATTTTTGCTAATGATGCCATCCTTATCTTGGTCCATGAGCTGGAAGGCCTATATAGAAAACAAAGTGGGGCTGACAAAATTTGTTCAAACCATCTCAGTCGTGGTCTTCCTAAGTCTGCTTTCCTTGAGTTTTGTAGTTCTGTGGCTGAAAACTCCTCTTGGTAATCTGTAGTCTGGTGTCAATGAACATGACTTCAAAACTTTACCTGGCATTCGTTAATGTCATTGGTAATTTTGTTAACCACAAATAAATTCCTTATATTGTCACTTTACTTTCTATCTCTCAAAGTTAGTCCTTTCAGTCGATGTAGAAATCTTGTATGTGCTGCTTCGGTTCTGTTGTTATGTCTAC